CCCTGAAATCTTCTGAGAGCTGTGAATGCCTGCTTAGCACAGAAGGCAAACTGCACCTCCTGTTAGGAGAAGCCTGCCAGGAAAAGCTTGTTAGAGCTCCCTAAGGTTATTCCCACCCCACGTTCTCTGTAATTCCTCTGCACATATTTCTATGCAAACACTTTCTCTTCCCACACTTGCTTCTGTGCATATGTCTCCTAGCTGGTTAGCATTGGCATCCATGACCTTGTTAGCAAAAAAAWATCGACAATGTAAATTGTGTTTGTGTTACTAGTGAGGCAAACTGACTTAATTTTGATGAGCAAGGATTTCTGTCCATTGCCAAGAGACTGGTAGCTCAGGCCAGTATCCTCAGAATGGACAGGTTTCACTAAAAAGTGCAAAACACAGCAAACTAACTGATGGGGGAGACTCCAGCAGGATCAAGTCTGAAAGGTGCCTCTACTGGAAAAAGTCATCAGAACKAGGTGCCTCAGGGAGATTCATCATTCAGACTCATCAGCCCAGATAATACACATGTAGGAGAAAGCTCCTTACTTACTAAGGTAATCTAGACTGGGAAAGGATGAGGAGAATGAAAAGTCAAACAACAAAAGCATCAGGGTTTGTGGGATGAAAATGTCAAACAAACTAAAAATAAAACAAAAAAAAAAAATTAAAAACCTAAATAAACAAAAAAACCACCCTGGATTAAAAATAATGATCCAGAGTCAGAGTTTATGTTTGAGATCTGCTAGAGAAGATAATTTAATATGCTCTCCCTCAGCTTTCTGCCTCTGCTCCTGAAGGTGTCTAGAAAGAATTTAAAAATAAAAATCAAGACAGAAGGAAAGGTACACCATGAATAACAATAAGACTGACCTTTTTCTGTTTCCATGTAAACTTCCAAGAATATTGAGAAAGTTCCAAAACACTTTTATGACTTTAAAATATTTCTTCTTCCCTTTTCATGCCATTATCTCTTGTTTTGTTTTTTTTTGCTTGTAACATAGCCACAGTTTCAAGAGACAATATGGGTGATGTTATTACATAATTTAAAGTCAGATAACTTGTGTTTCTCAAATTTAATAAAGTAAAGCAGACCTCTTAAAGAACACTGTGGCTTGAAAAGCAGGGTTGTGGGTTTGGAGTCAGACATTATTCTTGTTATATCTTCACCAATGTCACTTTAAAGAAAAGTCCCATCTCATTCTCTTAGCAGGTACCACCAGAAATGTATTTAACGACCTCCCCTTTTTCAGCATTTGTTTCCCTGATGGGATTTGTTTCCTGCTGTCCTCAAACTAAGATTAAATACTACCTCCTTCCATTGTGCAATTGTTTTCCAATGTTTTTTTTTAAAGTTGCTCTTCTGTATGATATTGCTTTAAAAGAAGAAAGTCAGTCTTTCATAACCTCAGGTCTTCCTGGTCTCTCTGTGAACACTTATTTAATACATTGCAAGGGCATTATATCTAGACTATATTTTATGTGGTCAACTAAAGGTCTGCTGGGGTGGCTGGGGTAAGCACACAAAGTTGGGCCTCTTCCACCTCTTTCACTGAAGAAAAGTATCATAACTTTAAACAAAACAAGCATTGACACTGAATATGCAAACCACARAGCTATTCTACATGGTCATGCTGCAAAAGTCTGATTATTTTGTAGAAATGGGTACAAGCTCATTCACAGAGACATACTAGAAGAGATTCAGCAGCTACAAAAAGCTGAAAAATAAAGCTGAAAATTTCTAGTTCAAAATCTGGGAGAGTAAAAAAATGTAACCCTAGACCTCCTTCATTCCTCTAACCTCAACAGCTCCATCTCATTTCTGCAAATGCTCTAAGTGTTCCAGTCCACATCTAAAAAAAAAATTAAAATCTCTACTTAACATTTTTGCAGAGCTTTAATGCCAGTTGATGTGYTAGTGTTCAGGATTAAGTAATCACATAACAACCAGTGACAGGTTACAGGCCTTCACAAATTTCATGGTCAAGAAAGAACAATATCTAGGATTAATGGCAATTGGATCTGAATTCTGAGGATCTGAATGTTAAGGCTAAGTATTTTACTGCAATTTCAGACAGGCAGCCTTTTTTGGGAGTGAAAATAGCCCAAAGTGTTAAACAAAAGGAGCATTCCCCATCATGTCATGTTTATCTGAAACTATCTAATCAATTTATCAGCACAGCATATCTGACAGAGTAAACATTTCATAAGCATGCAATGTTTCTAAATTCAGTATCAGTTAACGTATCATCATCATCATCCATTGCTTTAACGCTCTTTTGTTTCAAGTCTGTAGTGCTTGCTTGATTCAAACTGCTCCGGACAGCAGCTTATTAGCACTATTTATCCATTAATGCAACTATGAACATCACACAGTGCACAAGTCTTTAGAACTAGGTGCCTAAAACAAGATAAGTAGGATTAAAGCATGCCTTTTCATGTTATAAAAGCAATTTGTTCCCCAGAATTATTTTCCATCTTGACTTGAAAGATTATTATAAATGGAAGGAAAGGGCAAGGGGAAAAAAAAGCCAGTGTTCAGACAGCAACATTGTAAAACTATATTCCTATTTCAGGGATGTGAAACAAATCTTAAAATAATACAACATACACTATTTTCCATATGTAATAGTTTATTCATGCCAGAGGACAAATCCAGTTGTAACTAATCAGTGGAAAGCTTAACGCAGTAGCTGCAGAGATAATTCCAACATCAGCTGTAAAAAAAAAAAAAAAAAAAAAAAACAGTACACCCAATACCAAAACAAACAAAAAAAATCCACACCAAAAGACAGGAATGTGCTTTCTGTGAAAAAATACAATATAATTGCCTTCTATAACAATCACAAATGTCTTTACAGCAGACTAAAGGCCAGCAATTAGGATTTCCCAGTGCTTAAAACTTATGAACAATATTCTATGCTTTTMAAAAAATCATAAAATTTGTAAATAAAACCACTGAGTAGGAAATCTGTCAGATAAAACTAAAGCACCCTGACTTGAAGTGCCCACTCTCAGCTAGAAGTAGCATCTATYGTCAGAGCTGGTCTGCATATAGATAAGAACTGGGTTCACCAAACCTAAAATCTTTAAAGCAAAGCCAAAGGCTGTATGGGTATTTCAGTAGGCAATCTTATGAAAAACCCTGTATCAGAATTCCTGCTATGATGTTGTTGAGGTATGTGAGATGAGAACACACAGTGCAAGATCAGCAGAGGTGTGGAACKGAGACTGCATTTCAGGGAGGGAAGCAGCACCAAGAGAAGGAAAGCACAACAGCTGGCTTAAAAGSCATCCCAACCAGCACTGAGTTACATCAGGCTGGCTACTCCTGATAGAAATTCTACTCCAGAACAGGTCAGGTGTAGACAAAGACAAAAGCATAGATATGAGCATRTGTACCCTTGCTAAAAGCAGCTGCTGAATGACTGCAAGCCCTTAGAGGCCCCAAGAATGAGAGCCCTGACATCAGGTATTTTATTCAGTGCTAACAACCAGAAATAGTCAGATTTTGAGGAGAAATGTTTTGATTTACATTTCTACTAGCGTAATTGCCAGTGTGCAGGCTATGCCTGGGAAGAATAAATCAATACTACTTTCCTTGGTTACTTTGCAAATAAATTACTCCGGAAAATACCCTGTCCTTGCTTCATCAATTTCAATTTTATGGGAAGTGAGCCATTGTCCTTAGGCATTGGCAAAAGTATGTGAGGTTGTAGAGCATCTCAACAAAAAAAAGAGCCTGAATAACAATGCATGAAGCATATTAAATAACCTGCCCTGACTTATTAACTTAAAATAAGATAACCACCACCCACAAAGATTACTGGGGGTTTCTGGGGTTTTGAATATTTAGATCTGGGACTTCAGTTTATGTCCAGAACAGGAAAGTTGTATGGGATCCAAATCAGCAAATCATTCTTCTCATAATAAAAAAAAACTTTGACACAAGAACCGTGTAAGAGATAGTTCTTAGCATCTCACTGGGTCAGGCAATGATGTAGCAACACACAGACAGTCTGCTAGTTCTAGTCAAACTCTGAAATTTTACTGTGGTAAAATGGAGGTGCAACATACTGAAAATAATAAAATGCCAATCCCAGGAATCTGTCTGTGCCTTTCTAAGAGATGGTTCCACAAAAATGTCACCTTAGTGGTCAGTCACTCTCRCAGGGTCAAGTGAATGGAGAATAGAATATGTTAGGAAAGAATAAACCTGTGGTTTCAAACACCTTGAGAACTCTGCATTCATGGCTCCCACACTTCATTTGAAAAGGATGTTGAAATGCAAAAAGACTCAGAGAGCACCACAAGGACAGTTCAAGGTCATGAAACAATGTCTGTATGGGTAACATTTAAATAGATGAGTGCTGACGGGGCAGTACAGCACCTCTGCTGTAGTGACAGTTGGACAAGATGGTCACTACCTCTTCTAATGCAACAACTACAAGGCAATACTAGTAAACATTACTAGTGAAAACTAGGTTCAAGTAAAAAAAAAAAAAAAAGCAGGTGATTCTTCACACCGGCAAGGCTGGTCTGTGAAACTACTGAGTAAAAGATCTGGTAGATGCTAGCAGCTTACTGTTTTGAAAAAACAGCTGGACAAATTCATGGAAGAGAACTTCACCAAGAGGTGCCAAGAGGAAAAAAAAATATGGGAAAAAAACCCCAACCAATAAAACAAACCAAAAAACAAACACAATAGACTGACTGGGAATTTTCCAAATCATAAAACTGCTCAGGAAACTATTCTGGGAGAACACCACTATCTAAGAATTGCTAAATTGTTCCCCAGATTTTTCCCCAGTTAAAGACCATCGCCAATGCAAGACAAGAACCTACAAAGATCTTGAACAGTACTCCATCCAGTCTCATGTAGACATCTTCCTTTTGAGCTAACAGTACCCTTCTATACATGAGCATCATTTTCAATGCAATTGCTCATATATTTATTTCATAATGCTTYACTCACTCTGTCTTTCCCTTGCCTTCCCTTTCTCTCTTTTCAGATTAAAGAAAATCCAGATGGGGTGCAGGTGCTGCAAAATGATACAAAGGTACAATAGAACAAAAGTTGCTTAGATGGAATAAAAGAAAGCATTAAACGCTGTCTAGTGCTTCTCTACACCTCTTGCTTTAATTAGCCACTGTGAAAGGTTGGAGTTTTCTCAAAGTTTACAGCATCTTTAAGCAAAGGCCTTCTGATTTCCTTTGAATGTCCTTTTCATTTTCCTGTAGTTAAGGTCCACTTCCATAATTCCTATCCAACCAAAGGAACTGTGGGGCATTAAAAAYGCATCTTCAGTAAAGCTTTTTCTAATTTAGGTAGCATGAGCTTCCCTCAATTCATTAGAACAAGGAGCACACATTTTGTCAGATCCTCCCCCTCTCCCAAGCAATGAAAATGAACTGCAGTTCCTTGTTTCCATCACAGTTTTAAATGTCATTAGCTGGGGGAAGAATTCCCATATTAAAAGTCTCCCTAGAGGGGAAGACTAGCTAGTTTTATAAAGAGCACATTTCAGCCCTACTTGAGGGTTACTCCTTCCCTTGGCCACTTCTGTAGAACAGGTAAGGAAGTGGGGAGAAAATGGTGCTATGAGACAAAAAAGAAAGATAAAGAAAATAGAGAGGCTCTGCAAGAGATAAGTCAAGGAAAATAGAGAGCAATAGAAAGAAAACAAATCAGGAGGTGGGGAAAAAGAAAGAAAGAAAGAAAAAAGATAAAAGAACAAAAGGTTTGAATGAAGAACACCAGGAAAAAAATGGGAGATATTTTAGCAACTACATGAGGACATATTAATTAACAATCCATGTGATGACTACTYATTGGCTAATCAGCTCCCCAGAGAAAACAAAAAATAAAGCTGGAAACAAGCAGTAACCAGCACACTGTTCTCCAATATCCTCCTTAGGCTCCTGGTGAAACTCACTACAGGGGTTAGCTATGATCAGTCCCAGGGGACAGCAGCTGACAGCATAGTTCAGCATTTCCATTTGGTTTGACTCATTCTCAGGGCCCAAGGCAAAGGTCAGTGACGCTTGCTCCTCAAGACTTTCAGCTTAAAAATTAAGCTTAATCCTTTTATTCATTATATTGATTAACATYGTAAGTAACATCTCCTTTACGAATTTTCCTCACTCCAGCTATATTTTTGAACCAGAAGAAGCACAATCATCTGGATGCATCCATGAAGTAAGCAGCTATAAACGCAATGAACAAGGCAGCAATAAATCCAAATTCAAAGAGAACAGTGAAAATGAAGAACACAAAAATGAACTCCAGAACAATGAGGTAAACAGAACAGAAAGTAWAAGTCCAGTAAACAGTACAAAAGAAACTCTCTGGAATCACAGAAGCAGTGCTTCTCAAGAGGATGGCCCTGTGAAGTGTGCTGCAAAGTTTGATGTTGCAGTCAATGGTGGCAACTCCTGTGCTGAGCACTCCATGCTCAACCCCAACACAAACCCAGTGAAAGAAACAAGTGAAAAGGGAACCTCCAGCCACTCAGAGGCTTCTTCAGCCAGCAACAGAGACTTTTACACAAAATCAAACGGGTCTGGACAAGAACTTGACCTAGAAACAGGCAGTCAGAGTAAGGCAGCCAGCAATGTGCCTAACAGTATTCAAGACTCCCAGTCTGCAGAACACAGCATCTTTCTCAAAGGAAACTCAGTCTTGGAGACAGAAAACAATGCCATAGAACTGCCAGATATTGATTATCCCCAAAATGGCAATCAAACTGAGAACTATGTTGAAAAACACAGCTTTTCAGTCAACTGTGCACATTCAGACCAAAACACTRGTTCTTCAGCAATACAGGCCCAGGACCTTTGTGTAACCCCACCTTCGTCTGTGAAAGAGAGCAGTATTGAACCTTTTAAAACTGACTCTGCAAGTTGGGGTGAGAGCCTTACCGGTGGTATCACTGGAGTGGCAGTTGCCAAAATTGCACCCACACACACCAACCATAAAGATGTGAATGGAGAAATGGAGGAGGAAGATGCAGAAGTTGCAGCAGCTCTGGCTGCACTGGAAGCTGCAACAGCAGGAGAAGACCTGGAAGATGATGATGAGTACTAGGTTTYTTTCTAATACACTGGGTAAGATCCAGATGCTGTTTCTGGGTCTGTATAAACAGATGTACAGCACACATGGAGAGCTGTTATGAACAGCATATATAAAAAGGAGTTCAGACTAAACCTCTGTTCCTTCAGCTGATTTATACAGCCTTKTAATTTCTACTGCCTAAGGTACTGAAATGCTCCCTTGGCTAATGGTAATACTCTTCTCTATGGGCCCAAACACGAGGGCAAAGATTTGTTTCTTCCACACAGAATATTCAGTTGTACACCCACCTCATCTGGACTCATGCAAATGTTTCCTTTGGGTATGACCCATATGAGGGTCTGTGCACACTGCATGTTCCAGGTTCACAAAACTTGTATTATTTAAAGCAGAATTATTGAAGTCATGCAGTTAGAAACCACAGATTTTCATCATTAGCAGAAAAAAAATACATAAATGAGCCAAAGTTCTATGATCTACTGAAACATGAAATAGGGAAGGCAGCTTGGATTGAACTTTACCATGGTTATGGTTCCATTATGGATTAAGCCTAAATCTRTGCACATGCATGTGACATTAGGATSAAAACATWATTTCTYCCCTCACACCTGCCCTYAACTTTGTTTGATACCCCAAGTGTTGCTGCTTCAGTTCCTTAAACAGGAGAAGAGAGTGGGTAACCTTCTGTTGGTTGAATGTGCTAAAGTAGTTCACGTAAGAATTGCACACACAGTATCAGAGGCCAGAGAGAGATTAAAACTCAGTCCCTACCAGCTTGGATTAAAACTTTAGTAAAATTAGCCTGAAACCTCTGAACTACACTAAATTTTCCRGGTKCATGTCACTTGTCTTAACAATACAGTTTTCAAACAGATTGTGTCTCAAACATCCCTAGCAAGCTGTGTTTTGTTTATAACAAAGCAGCAAGAGCCAATGTTGACCCCTCCTTGGCTCTGTTGTAGTCCCTATATTTACAGCAGGAAAGGGATCATGCTTCCAAGCTGAATTAAGCATAAGACTTGAAAATAGTTGTATTCCTGGAAGGGCCTGCATTTCTAATGGGAGAAAAAAAGGAGGTAGAAACCAATTTAGTGCTGACAATTCAGCAAAAGCATGGGTGAAATAGAAAGTGCTTGAAATTTAATACTGAAATTTTGTGGTTTCCAAGTTTTTGTCATAAACTCCTAATAAATTTTTTAACCATATAAAAATAATCTGGTGACTATTGTATTTTATACATTTCCTGAATATAAAAGTTACATTGAAGAAGTTCARTAAGATATAGCCTTCATTAGATACATGAAAAGCACCAACAATGTATTTGCCATATGCTGATTTCAATTTCTCAAAATGTWAATGATACTCATAAGAGCAATTAAAACAACGTAAAGTCTCAGCTTYGAGAGAGCTACATTCAGCTGCAGGCAAGAGTCATAACATTGTATCTGTAAAATAAAAAAGSTTTATATGGTTTTAAAGCATTGTAGTACTGTTGATTTCTCTACCACTTCCCTATTTTAATAGGTCCTTGTAATAGGTACTTTTCACAAGGTCCTTGTAATAGGTGCTTTTTTTTTTTATTTTAATAGATCCTTTTCACAAGSGCACACATCTTTTTCAGACTCATTTGTCTTTCAAAGATCGCTACAATACTGCAAGTCAGTGAAAGAGWGCTGGCACATTGTTGACAACCTAATATGCTTATGAAAGGACACCACATATGTYTGTCGGTACTGTGAGTGACCTGAGSGTSTCACCAGTCCTGAMTGTCCCTTCCCACCACCCCAAGAYTCTCCCTGCCCTGCCTGGAGCCCTGGTCCCCATGTCAGCCCGGGCAGGAGGGCCAGACCCTGCACCTCAGCCATGGACCCTGCTGGAGATGCCTGGGCGGGGCTGTCCTGGTGCCCTCGGCTGCCCCACTGCYGGCTGCGGTGGCAGGACAGACTCTGCCTGTGGGATCCAGCTCTGTTATCCCCAGGGASCCCCCACTCTCCCCACATCTCAGCCCAAGGGAGCCAGTGGCCCCTTGCTGCACCATGACATGAACCATGAAAGACAATTCAAATAAAAAAAATGTTAAAGAAAGAAACACAACAAACACCCAGAGAATTTACCTGACTTTTTCAATATCCACTCAATTCGATTTTTCAAACCTGAGCTCCACCTTGAACTTCAAGTGCAAATCACAGCCAGTTTCTCACCTTGCTCCCCAAGCATTAAAATATATTAAAGGAGAGCCCCTGGTCACACCCAGCCCAGACAACCCAAAACAGGCAACTCTTCTATGGGCAACTGGCCACAACTATGGGTCACCAGACTGAAACCCTCCACAAGAGAGCAGCTGAGCCACAGACAGGGCATGCCTTGCAGCCCAAGTTCGTATTGTCATAAACAGAAGAGGCAGAACTCAGAGCAGAGCAAGTCTATTCACTGCATTGGAAATAACTGGTCAGTGTTCTTTWAAAAAAAAAAAAAAAATGTTGGGCATCTGCATATCTCAAACCTACATCATGTGGAAAGCTTTCACAAAATAAACCTATGAGGTAACACCAACATTAAGATTTCTCTCATCTGCTATCTAAAAAAGTCTAGCACAGTTTTTAAATTTAAAAAAAAAAAAAAAACTTGTATGCATTTCATACTTATGTATTTGTATACCTTCAACTCTACCTGAGTATCAGGAATTCTTAGCCTTTTTTCAGACTGCAGTACAATTTTCACAATAAATGTGAAGGAATCACTTATTTAAAAAATAATGTTTAAATGCCACATACAATTTCCTCCGTAAAAATCAGATTTTAAATAATCATGTGAGAACAAAATCTTACTCAGTCCATCAGATCTTGATGCAAATAAACAAAAACATTGTCAGCTTGAAAAATCCATTTTGCTCAGGCAATTGTGAGAGTAAAATTCAGTAACTTGAGAAAACAGAAAATCACAGGAGGAAAAATGTTACTAAATGCAAGAGTAAACTGTATTTCAAGATTTCTCTCAAAAACTACACATTTTTTTAAGACACGCAAACACTGTACCTTCAGCTACCAATCAATTATTGTTTCCTGTATTCAGAGGGCTCACTTACAAAGTATCATTTAAATCTTTCAGTTTTTCTTTGATACAAAAGGAGTGTATATGGGAGCTGGTTGGTCAATATCTATTACTATTAATGTTTCTGTATTTGATTTATTCCTTTATGGGTGAATGTGAAGACATCTGTAGCAATAAAGAACAGGCAATAGAATGGGAAACTACAACATGAGTTGGTATTTCTATAAAAGCTTTTGCATATTGGAAGCTCGTGTTTTATTCATTATTCTTCAAAGTCAGTAATACAATTTAAAGGGAATTTGCAATCTTTCATCTGTAAGCAAAGAGATCTTCAGTAAGACTAAGTTTAGCACCTTCTCATTTAGCAGTTCATCAACCTCGGGTTATTAAAAAMGAAATTCAGATCATTGCAGAGGTTCCACATATGACAACAGGAGTGGAAAASAGCCCAGTCCACCCTCAAGGAAGTTAATTAATTCCTAGAGAGAACATAGCAAGAATAGAACGCAAAATTTGACACTGAAGAATTATTCAGATCAACAAAGTTCTAAAAAGTAAGCAGGAACCTGGAAATAGATAAATTCCACAAAGATGGAGCTTTTCCTTTCCTTGTAAAGAACAAACATTAGGGTCCGGACAAGGGTTGCTATGGAGACTTTCCATTAAAAAAAATGAAATTCAGAAASTATATTTTTTTCTCAAATATATTTCAGTTTTGATTGCTTAAATAAAATACCATTTTCATCATCATTTCAAGGGTAAATGACTTGGAAATAAGGAAAAAAAATTAATCTTGACCTTATGCTATATTTGCAGTTTCAATTTCCTAAATGAAATTTAGTTTTCCAAAAGATTAATTCTTACCAATGTATCTCATTTGGCTAAATGAGAACAGAATATCTCAACATTTATTAAGGTCTATGCATATGGTATTCCATGTATTTATTCAAATGCCTATATTACACATTTTAATTACATTGAAACAATGAATCTTAATAGATTATTTCTCTAGAACTGTGGTATCTCTCCTTGCATGAAGACAGAAATTGGAATCCACTAAATTGCACAAGAGCATCACTTCAAAATTAAATGTATTAAAACCTCTTTAACATGCTAAATACACAAGAAAGTTAATTTATCAAAGTCATTCTACATTAAAAACCAATTTATTTTTAAACAATTCTGTTGATAAAACTTCCTTTCAGACATTGTGCCCTACATTTTAGAACAAAGATATCACAAAATGTTTAAGAGTAATTGTTAGAAGCAGATTAAAATTCTTTCATTGGTCTTTCCAACATGAAATGCCCTTGGCAGAGACTTTCTTCCCTTACCATCATGAAATCAAAACAGAAACTCCTCAGCTTGTTTCCTGGCCAGGCTTTTCAAATTTCTTGCATTCACATACACTGCTAGAGACATTAGTCTTAGGACTCCCTTCTCCATTAACAATTTTACTTTGCATCTCAGGGAGGTTTGTTTTTAAGTTTTTCTTCATTATTAACTGTCACAATAATTTTCCAAACTTCAGATCAGATAATCCTTGAACTGAACTAGTTAAGTAAGCAGAAAACAGGAAATACTGCCTGCCCCTAAAATGCTACTGCTGCTAATACTTCTGCAAATTCTACCCCACCTGCTTTGGGACTTCTTCAATTTCAAACTACGAACTGTTGAAATTTTGGAAGAAACTAAATGTGTGTCTTGGACTCAGTAATAAAAAACAAAATAGATTATAGCAATTTCATGCCTTCACATAAGCAGCACTGACTTTTCAAGAGTTTTATTGTTAGATGCCATTTTAACTTTTTAAAACTGGTTTAGTCAAATTTTAGGAGAGAATTTATTACAAGTAGTTACTTCCCCACTTCCTACCTCTTCYTGCTTTCATCAGGAATATTCCCTTGTACAAGTTAGTTTGGAAAACAGGATTCTCTCAAAGAAGCAGGAAAAACATTGCCTCTCTTGATTTTGTTCCTAATCCAGTTGTTGAAGTACATGTCCCTAGCAGTCACCTCACAATGACTGTAATCAAAGCTATGGAGGTTACACCCTTCTCTGCRCTGAATCTTGGCTGAAAYTATTATAAACAGGATTTAACAGGTTTTTGCTTTAATTCGTAGTTCAATTACTGTACACTAACAACTGAGAAACCTTTCATTCTTTAGCAAATCGAAAAATCCCACAAAGCTTTCTGGAAATACAGCATCCCAGGTTGAAGACTACTGAAGTACWCAACCAACACAATCAAACCATGTCACATGAAGACCAAGTTTAAATAATTTACTTGCTCTTTAAACTCCCTTCTGTTTACTCTGTGCTAGAGATTAGCTTGATTATTGTAAGGGTATTCCCGCTAACCTCAAGCATGGCCAGATTTTCAATAATCTGTGATCACACATCCTATCCCCTCCCTGCTTTTAATAATTGGAGCTGGTACCAAGTAATTTTCTTAGACTTATATACAATGAAAGGAAGGTATTTYGTTCAAAGTGACAAAGGCAAGATAACTACAGAGCAAAATGAAGATTCAAATTCTGTTTAGGTATTTGAGGACAAACCATAGGGATCTGGCCAAGAATTAACCTAGTTTGTTTCCACCTCACTTCTCTTTAGTTCTTATTTGAGGTCCTCTTCCAGAAATAATGCATTTAGYAATTTTGGGGCATTCCTCAGATTAGCTTTTTCATAAAATCTTCAGGGAAAAAAAATATCATGCAAATGTCCTTATTTTCAATTGTCCTGGTTTCAGCTGGGATAGCATTAATATCTTCTCAGTAGCTGTTACAACGGTGTGGTTTCGATTCAGAACAAGAATGGCATCGACCACACATTGATGTTTTGTGTTTTTGGGAAGTTGAGTATATTCTAAGTCAAGGACTTTCTTTTCTTGTCTCATGCTCTGCCCGGGAGGAGGTGTACAAAAGAAATTGGGAGGGAACAGAGCTGGGACAGCTGGCCTGAACTTACCAAAGGGATATTCCACACCATAGAACATTGTGCCCACTGGGGAGATGTTTGGGGTGATGGTGTTTGTCTCCCCAAGTCACTGTTACACACAAGGGGGGCCCACCCTCCTGGAGATGGCTGAACACCTGCCTGCCACGGGAAGCAGTGAATTAATTCCTTGCCTTGCTTTGCTTGTGTGCATGGCTTCTGCTTTCCCTATTAGACTGTCATCATCTCAACCCACGAGTTTTCCAGCATTTACTCTTGCAATTCTCTCTCCAGTCTCATCAGAGCAGGAGAGAGCAAGCAGCTTCCTGGGTTGAACCATGACATCAGTAAAAGATGCACTACATAAATAGATTTTTTTGTGGCCAAAAGTGGTACAAGTTTCCCCAGAACCAATCTCCAGAACAGATGAAATATTACAGATTTTTAAGTCACAGTTTCAGTTTGGTAGTTAAAAGTGACATCATACTTAGCCACTCTGATTTTGSTTACCTTTTACTTATTAATCTGCTCTTTATGTAGCTTATGCACGTCATCCAATTAGCATCTGCAAAAAAAACCCAGCCATACTAGAGATCCAGCATTAATCAAAATCAAGACAAATTATCAAAAGCCTTACAAAAGAATATGCATACTCCACCCTGACTGGGAATTATTTTTCCAGATTCATGCATGAGTGTTAATTACCAGGCGATGCACGCTGCTATTGTTTTGACGTACGAGACACAGATCCTGTTCTTCCTCATTGCTTTGATTAAAAACTTGGCTCAGAGAGAAGTTTATACATTGTTTCTTTAATAACTGCAGCAGCTACTTCCAGGCCACTGCAAGGCAGGAGAGGGGCTGAGCTGCTGGTCCTGACTAGCCACAGCTCTGCCCTAGACACATGAGGCACCTCAGATCTCCCATTAAATTGGGAGTTTTTTAAATTCCTTTGTTTAATTTTTTTTACACTGACCTACTCCGACCTTTCCAAATTATCAATAAAAGCTTCATAGCTCCCTCTGCTGCTAGCAARTATGTAATTCAGCTCCTCTACACAAAACCGGCTTACATTGCATTCCTGTCCCTCTATGCATATATGTGTGTGAAGTCCTTTGAAAATCAAATTTGGGAARCATAGGTATGTTATTTTAAGGCTCTCCTAAGATTACTGCTTTTATTGGATAATTATTTTTACTGTAAATCAATATTGAAGGCTAGTGGTTAAATACTGTTTTAATAGTAATTTCAAAATACTACCTTATTCAATGTGAAAACCAAACCATATAATTACCTGGGTATTTAGCTGAATATCTAATGACACCCATGAAGCAATGGTCAATTTTTCAGAACAGCTCAGAGACAACAGTTTGTCTCAAATTACTTCTGCCCCTGTCACTACTCTTTTTCAGTCCATTTCCCAGGTCTTTCACATTCCCATTGCTGTCTTTTCTCTGAACCTGCCCCTCCCCAGGCATTCCTCTCGGAACCTGCCCGTCTGCATCAGGTACCAGCTAGGTTTGTTAATTGTTTTGCTCTTGCTCTTCCGCTACATGCTGACAGCTATGAAAAGTGTACTGAATCCAACACTCTCTATGGCCCAGCACCATTTCAACACCACCAGCACAATGGTGCAGTGTCAGCTCGAGTGTGTCCGTCTGCCCCTGCTGCAATCTAACAACTCTGCAGCCCCGAAGAGACACGACTGCGATGGCTGACTGCAAACAGGCAAGGAAACGACAGCTAACAAGGCAAGGGGGCATTGGAGGGGTTGTATGTATAAAACTAAGGGGTCACATTGGTAGAAAAATGTGTTTGCTAGTATATGCTCCTTTGTATTGTAGCTGCAGCTGTGTTATTGCATCTCTATAGCACCAGAGGCTGCCGCGGCCTACTCGGCTGGAGAGCGACACAGACCCACACAGGGCCTGACACACGGAACCGGCTCTGCACAAAGTCCCTGTCACAGGGAACTTGGCTTCACTTAAATAAACTTAGTAGCAAAATATTCCACCAACCCACTCTTTTCTTCCACATAATTTGGGAGCCACAGACAATTTGGAGGTTGCTGACTTACAGCACAGARCTTTCCAACCTTGCCACTGTGACTCTTCGAAGGCTTCTGCCAACCTCTTTGCTTCCAGCACTACAGGCCTGGCATCTCTCCTACCTTTTCTCAGAGTTAGATGAACAGACTCCTACTTTCCCAAACTGTCCAGCTTCCTTTTCCTTATCTTGGTCCAGCTTCCCATCTCCTTTTATTAGTTTTACCTCAGCAGATGRCCTTCACCTGCCAGGAAGGCAGCTCCAAGGCTGACAGGGTGCCTTCCAGATCTGTGCGATGGTAGCTGGAAAGGGAGCATCCAGAACAAGAGATATCATTAAATGACAGCTTTAGTGAACAGACCAGCAGTACCTTAGTGTAGGCCCTCTACCACCAGAAAAAAAAAAAAAATTAGAAGTTTAATTTTTTTTTTTAAAAATTAACAAGTGTAAATTGAAGACAGTATTTCAAGCCTAACCTCCCTCAAACCTCCCTCAAACAAAATCCCAACATAAAAGATTTCCCAAAACACTGAGAAAAAAATTAAATCTAACCCATCTTTATCTGTCCAAGTCTTATATGCTGCTCATTAATATTAGATAGCCAAGGCTTAACCACTCTTTTCTTGTTTACTCATTAGCAGCAGCATTACTCACTTAGCAGGGAAAAGGAAAGAACAAGCCRAAAGTGCACAGAAACCCTAAATTAATACATACAAATCGATTCATGCTTCAAACTACAGGGCACAGGTGGGAGTCCTCAATAACCACTAAACATCTAYGAAACTTAATTCCTTAGGAGAGACAGTCTCAAATTCATACCCAGTAGGCACTTTCAGCATTACCATACCAGAACAGACCATATGTCCTCCCATCTTTCAGACAGGACTAATCTCATAAAAAGGCTCTTTTTAAGGCACATGATTTTGTATTAGTATGCAGTAAGTACAAGCTCAATTCATTTGTAGGGAGAAAAAAAAAAAAAAACCAGAAAACAAATTTAAGTGGCACCCTTTTCTCCTGCCATTTCCAATCATGCTCTTAGTCACCATTTCCCTCTTTTGTGTCTTTCAGTTCAGCTCTGCTACACAGCCCCACAAGCAGCCCCATCACTCCAGCAGCSTCAAGAGCTCCCCACTCTGGGTTGTATGCACTCACTCTTCAGTAAGATTGGAGTCTGGGGTCATTTCTGCAGACAGCTGCAAGATCTACCCGCAGACTTCAGTACACAAAAAAACCACTTGCACTTTAGCATTCCCCTAAAACGAGACCAGCTGGCTGAAATAACACTTTCAACAAGTGACACACAACACACTTGCAAGTACACTGACTATATAAGGTACCCATTTTGTTTYTCTGTGTGTGAAGAACAGGCAAATAGTTTAGAAAGAAAATGGCAATGAGAAATGTCWTGCTTTTCAATTGAGAATGTTTTATAAAGAGATTCAGAAGCAAAAGAAATGCTTTAATCCTTACCATATTTCAAAAATACATTGCACRTGGGCTCTGTGTTCTTTACTAGTAAAATGAGATTTTATTAAACATAGAAGTAGCTGTCTAGACTGTTTTGCTACAGCAGCATGAGGTAAGATCCTGAATTTTGGAATAATGCTTTACTAAAAATTGAAGTGTCTGCATTGGGTAGAAGTAACAGAGTACTATTAAAAAAAACCACCATTCTTTGTGTTTCTTTTGAGGACTTGCCTATGTCAGCCCAATTATAACAGAATTTCTCAAACTTTATTACAGCAATCCTCTAGTATTTTAATAGACAGACATATTATCTAATGAAAACTACATATTACACAGAATTCTTACACAGAAGAAAAAAAGAAAAAAAAGAAAAATCCCTGAAAATGAGAATTACATAGTGTGTTGAATTTCCAGAAGCTTCAGCAGCAGCAGCGTCTCAATTCTGTTTGAAAAGTAAGGCCTGGAAGGATTTTTTATTTTTTTTTTAATATTCTGAATATAAACCACAGCTGTATATCAACTTCTGAAATTCAGACACAAGAGCTCAAAACAGACCCTATGTGGTACTGCTGTTAGGAACACTGAAATAATAATAAAAAACCCCAAACCTGCAAACAGGAATGGTACACTGATAATCCCATCTCACAGATAGCCACAACAACTTGCTTCAAGGATCCTTCACACCATTCATACAGCAAAACCCATGTTTAATGCCATTTACAGATCACAGTCATCTGTGAGAACATAATGTAACAAATTAGGCATTGTACTATCACAGACGGACACAGACTGAGAGGAAATAACTGCAAAGAGCTTCCTGTCATTTGTGATTTTTTGTTCCCTATCTTGTGAAAAAAAATAAGAATAATGTTGAGTATTTTTTAAAAGCTCYATGTCAAATATAATAAAAACTTTAAAGTATTGGTACTTTTAATCAAAGATACCAGCTTGGGTTAAAGCACAGAACACCATCTTTTCCATTTAAATATGAAACTAATATTTGCAATTGTCTTTTCTGAAGAAAATAAAATTGCTCTGAAATACATCACACTATAACCTAACCTTCTAACTACCTCCATAAACAAAAACTTAAAGAGGCAGAATGATTGCACAAAAATTAAATTTCACTCAATGGGTGCAAACTCAAGGAAGTCATAGGCAAGCTTAAGAATCAATGTTTTTTATTTACTCCTTGGTAGTATAAAAGTTGCATATAAACTATTTTGTTAAAAATACWTTTGATATGCAAATTTAAGAAAAGCAGACTAATATGGCAATATCCATACCCCTACAAAATAGCAGTGTAGTGTTAAAGGTAATAAAATAGGCACAGTTTCTAAATCATCTCTTACTTAGGCAGAAATACATTAATTCAATTCTTGCACATATCAGATCTTGTAATACCTTACATCATTACTTTATACAGGTAAACAATGTTTTACATATCCAACATCCTTCCACCCTTTTTACTTTACATATTTTCAATGGAATCAAAATAGAAAGTACTATTAAAATAAGTAAAAAAATACATACTGCTGTTTCAAATTTCTTCCATCCTTTTGACAAATTTATTCACAGTACTAACCCATCACATATCAAAATATGATATCAAGAGAAACTGCCCCTTTTTCAGAAAAAGCTTTGGGAACAGTCTGTAACTGTATCTTCTTCCTGAAAATGATTTGAAACCACTGTTTCACCCAATGCCTCCTTTTTYTGGTAACATTTCATACTCACAGCTACGAATCTCTCAGAAACTGAAAGCTAATTACTACAACCAATGCCARTTAAATCTTCTACAAATATTCTTCACACAAATAATCATGTGAAGCTCCATGCATGCCTGTACAATGAGGTTGGTGTTTATGTTGCACTTAAATATTGAAGAGATTTCACAAGCTGAGTTTAAATTGATGGAAGCGGGGATGCTAAACACTGAAGTTCCAGTCGCAGCCAAACAGTTATTTTGGGTTCTCAAGGACAGACAATTATCTCTAAAAATACCCATTTTAAAAAGAACAATAAAACATTTATTATTTTCAAAGTTTGGRTGAGTAGTGGTGGGTTTTTTGGCAAACGTAGCATTGCTGAAAAGTACACATTGACAGATCCAGTCAGTATCTTGTGGATATACACATAAGGAAGACCATCAGCAGCACATACTTTCAGCAAGAATGCAAAAACTWGCCGTTTCTGACAAGACATGGGAGTACACAAGCAAGAAGAGTAACTTTGTACATGCTGATTGTTAACACTGCATAAATTGAGGAAGAAACACAATCCTCAGATATGAAGGAGAAACACAATTTAGAAGAGTTGTATTAAAAAGATTGAAGGCATTAATTTAAAATAAATTCATTTCAAAAACATACACTGATTTTCATCGAGTTCATAAAGCAGATTAAGTTATAGTCCTCAGAATATAGTGCAATCTCTATGAAAATGCATTGCATTAGAGCTTATATTCTTARGCACTCAGAACAAATTATATGTAGATACAAAGAAAGAATCAAAGAATTAACATGATAATACCATGGTAATTTTAGCAGTAAGTCACATTTAAAATAYGAAGGGAGTAACACTGGCTTAAGATTTTGGTGCCAGTAAATACAGCTACCCTCAGTCAAATAAAGCCACTCTGAAGCACTTTAGTATATACTCCACAATTTTTTWAATGCCAAATATTCCATATCCTTATCTAAGGTTTGAAATATGCTGCCTTAGCTTAATAAGGAACCTGTGGGCAAGAACAAAAAAAAGGAAAGCAAAACTATTAGGCACTCTTCAAATATGAGTGAGCAGTTACAAGAAAACAGGAGAATAAATGGCCTTGAGGAAAGTAACTGCACCAAGAGCTCATCCAAAAGCATAGGAAAAGATGCTCTTCAGCCTACGTTAAGTAGTAAGGGAGAGGTTCAGGTCAGGGGAACAATTTAATTTAACATCTGCACATAACTGAACAGTCTCTGCTGTGAAGTACCCTGCACAGAGTTTGAGGGCTTATGTACTGAAGGCACACATGCAGATTTGGCTGACAATGATTTCCTTGTATGTTTTACTTGGCTATGAGCAGCTAGATTAAAAGAATATTTTCATCTTTGAAAGGCTGGCTTTTATCTTCAGCAATCACTTGTCAATTCTGGAGTGGGAGGAAAAGGAAAATAAAAATCCTGATGGACCACTRGATTGAATGCAGTTTATCCATGAGGTAATTGCGTTACTCTTAATATGCTCATTAGAAATGTTTGTCTAAGTACAAAGAAAGTTTAAGACTTGATAAGGCTTTTACCTTCCTGTCCAAAACCTTGCATGTATGTTTTCTGTYCAAGATGAAGCCATTTGTTTTGATGTCCACACAGCTCAACAGTATTTAAGTGTCTAAATCTTACTATTTGACTGGTCAAAAACTATTAAGTGTTTAACCTTGCAGGAATGACATCACAGAACTTGTAAAATGCTACATTGCCATAAATACATTTCCTTAAATAGTATGCATCTCTTGGGAGTTTTCAGTTTTCTCCGAAGTGCTGGCAGACAAACTTCTAATAGCTCCACCTGTAAGAGAAGAAAACAATTCTAAAAACAAACCTAAACAGCAAAATTAGTTTTAGGATGGACACACCARTTAAAAAGTTAGCAGGTGCTCTGAAATGGAAAAAAACAAGCCACAATTACATGACATAGTTGCCATGCATTCCCAGTTTAGCATGTGAAATTCTAAAGAGGAACTAAAAATTGAGCTAGTACTCTTGAAATGCATGGACAAACACATGGACAAACTGACAAATCACACCACAGTGCAAAGCACTAGGAATGGAAAATGTTACATAGCTTCAGTGTACCAGTACCAGTTTTTGTTTACCCACTGTCTTAAAAAGGATGTGCAAGAGCTTAACTCAAAGTTTTGACTTCAATTGTCAGCTGTGTATCTACTACTCTTCTTATGTGGCACTAAGCATATTCCAAAAAAAATTAATTGATGAAATGGAGTCTGCTGAGAGCGTGGAACTTGAGGACATGGAGAAGACATGCTACAACTTCAAATGACGCAACCAGCAAGACACTAGATAAGCCAAAACACTGTAGAGGTCACTTCAGAACATGTCAGTTTAGGGAAAAAAAACCCTGGACTTGAGAGTAGCAAGGGATACAGGCAATCAGCAATACTAATCCATTCAGGTACTGCCCAWTTCAGGAATTCCACCTCATACATGAACTCTAAGTAACAGTGGTTAAAGTCAACCATGAAGCATAAATCTACTGCCCCTGAACGACAGAAAAAAACATTTCTGGAAGCAATTAAATACTCATTTCTGTCTGCCTTCTTTCTCTGCATCTGAACAGCTGAGTYAAATACCCCCAAACTATAATCTTTTAATCAGAAATGTATTGACTGGAGGCACAAAAGTCTTAAATGCTGTTTATMTACTCAGTTTCAGTAATTTGGGCTACAATAATTTATTACAAGCCTGAAATAAATAATTGAAGTAAAGGTCTAACTACTACCTCTTTACATGTGAACAGCTTCTCATGACAGTAGACAAAAACTGCCCTAGAACCAGGCCAGGGAACAGTATCATACCCTTTTCAAGCAARATCTGTTTATTTTTTGTCGTGCACATCCAACAGACCTGGCTAGTTTCCCAGATGATTTACAAAATAGCTCTGTTGGACTGGAGAGACCAATAAAAGATTCTGCTGAGCCATTTCTCTGCTATTAGAACATTTGTTTTCAGAAGGGGCAAAACTTTAATCATAAGGGAGGTTCTACAATAAAAAGCTAACACAGATGGACAATTCTTTTATAGCTTTACTATCATACTTCTCTAGAGAACAGCTTATTTTTAAATTAAAGTAGTAATGGCTTAAATTTCTAGAACTTCTAAGGTAATTATAGGGAACAGTTTTCCTATTTAGGAGAGGAAAGAGCAAACTAGAGAGAAAGCTGGATTATAAAACATGCTGARTGGTTTCAAAATGTTGGGGTTTTTTCATAGAAGTGCACTGGAATTTATTTTCATATATGCCCTATTCTTTCTATTTCTAATGCTTAAAGAGAAGATAAATATCCTGACTTGGAGTAGAAAAAGAATTATGTTACAAACAATCTGATRATCCTCCCACCAGAGATATAGAAAAGAAATAAAAATAGTCACAGGAGTAACAAAACAATTACTGGGGCATGGAAAGGCCAATTCAGTGAAGGAACAAGTTATCTCCTATTGCATTTCATTCATATTGATCTTTTAAAAAGGAAGAAATAAAAAAGGAACCACACCAACATAAAAAAAATCCTGAGCACAAGGACATTATTCTGAAGCAGAAAATAAGAGTACAGTTTGCTTTTCATTGACATCTGTATATCCTTCACAGATTCCACTGCAATAATGAAACAGCAGCCACTAGGCAGCTGTGATGTGCCAAAATGTGCTACAGAACAAAAAGCACAACACTGGCATAGACAAGCATTTCTCCAGCCTGGTCTTATAMATGTCCAGCAATAAAGATGCAACAGCTTATTGCAATTTCCTAATTTTTGAAACCTGAACTCCACCTCCTTGCAATTTAGTCTTATCAATTGAGAGAAAAAAAAATCAATTTACTTAATGACCCTCCATAACGTTTTCAATATTTGGAAGTGTACCATATCTCCAAGTGCCTTCCCCTAGAGCAACGGTTCAAAAAAACCTGGGTATAGTTTAGTGACATACATAGTGATGAAGCATAGAGGCCAGACAAATACACACTGCTTAGTTCAACAGTCAAACCTGCGCTGCCAGTAAGCGTTGGGAGGAAGYATCCTACTGCATACTAGCTCTCTACTTTAACCTCAAAATACTTGAGGGCATTTGRATCTTGCTGCTTTTTTAAACAGACCCAACTTCGTCTTGCGCATTTCCCTCTTCCGTTTGAAGTTATCAGTAGTTTGACACAATGTATTTTACCCCCTCAGCATACAGAGAGCCCTATGCACTTTGCTCACTCTCTTCAAGTCCAGAACGTTTGCTATGTCACCCCACAACCTCTGTTCCTCGAGCGTCAAACCCAAATTTTGAATCACATTTATCTAAAATCACCCTCCCCCTTCACATTATGCATCAGATAGATAGCATGCCATCAAATAGAGGCAAACCATATTAATTTCCAGGGTTTTTTTTTCCATCAACATTCTAAACTGTTAAAATAAACAACAAAAACACAGTGAGGGTTGAATATCAAAGCCATGCTAGACATCTTTTTCACATGCTCAATAGAGCAACTGAAGCAATTCACTGAAGTTTAATGACTCACAAGAAAATCCCAACCGCATGGCTTAGTTAGATCCCTGTGAAACCATCAGCTCATGTGTCTCCATTGCTATTAGTCAAAGCTCCACAGATCTATCAGAGAAGTATCTAGTAAGCAATCATCTTATGCAAGCATGTATTACAAAGCAGAAAGCATAAGGAAGCAGCTGCAGTTATTCGACATTCCAGTGATACAAATGTCACTAGAACTTGTTTGTTTCAGGCAGTAAGCACATTGCCACTAAATCTGAGCCAYTGTTTATTGCCAAATCTTGGACTACTGAGCAACATCCACGAAGAAGTTTTTATTTCAACACTTACTCTTATTACAAAGTCTGAATAAACAATTAGATAAGAATCTGTTGGATAAAAAAGCCTTTATTAATTTATCATTAACTTAGTGATCAAATGAAAGTTTTGCAGACTTGTGCAGAAAATTTTGAAACTGAAAAAAGTTTTCACACAGAACGGACACATTTTCAAATTCACTGATTATTTTCATGTATTTCTAACATAATGCTTTCAGTATGAGTTCCAAACGTTCAACTGTTTGATACCTGCAGTTTACTCTGAGCTTCTCCTCTCTTGCCTCTCCTGTTTCACAGGTGTGGCAGTCGCTTCGCTCACTTCCTGTTTCACAGGCGTGGCAGGCATCTCACCGTTGACGCCCTCCACACCAGTAACAGACATCAAGCTTTTCCGTTCTTTGGAGTTTGACTTGTGATCCACTTTTGTGACTCGAAATCTGAGGTGAGCAAAAGAAAGTTCACTTGTATTTCCCCAAAGATTAAGTCATTYTCAGGACCAATTGCATGGGTAGGAACAAATTTCCAGAACATCCCAAGAACAGGATGTCAGAGCAGACACCTATATGGACCCCCTATATCATGCTTCACTTCAGAGCATCCTCTGTCCTATTTCCTACAGGTATCTGTAGTACTCAGTACTGCTGAATCACACTTTCTCAGGAATTGTGCTTTTGAAGCAGAATCAACAGACTGCATACCACTTCTTAGAATAGTAATTTTCAAAGACAACTACAACATAAGGTAGGAATTAAAAATACCAAAGAGAATGAAGTTGTAAGCTCACACTTACTAAAGAAATACCAAATTCAGAAACAGAGAAATTTACTGGTGTGCAATTCTTGTTTCCTTTCAGTCTGTACCAATAGAGGAATAGCCTTAAATTTATASTCAAAGTAAAACACCATCTTTTTACATAGTACTTAAAAAACAAACACATTTACTTCTTCCAGAAATAAATTCAATCTAATAGTAACAGAGTTACAAGAAAAAATTTTAAAATCACTGATCTTACAAACCGAGTAGAGTCTGATCCAACACAGGCCACTGTAGCATTCCTAAGAGAAATATTCAACAAAATGATCTAAGCCTTACCTTCCCACAGAAAGTACTGTAACTTCTCCAATCCGACTTCTTCTATTCTCTTTAGATTTTTGAGCTGGCTTTATAAGGTGCCATCGTTTGTGACTGCAACGAGTACAAACATCCTTTTCTACCACTCCTCCAACAGTATGGAAATGATGGGCTTTGCAGCTGTGTCTGAATGGAACAACACCTGGTGACAAAGGAGTCCCTGGACTCCCTGGACTCTCAGGAGAGGTAGGAGATAAAGGGCTGTAGGAAAAAGAAATAAATAAAATTTAATGATTACTATAAAATACTGTTTATTGAAAAGAAAAAGGATGACATCCAACCTTCAGCGATGTCTAGTGAATAGCTAGTTTTTACAGGGAACATTTATTTGTGAGGATGTCCATCTTATGGTTCCTTCTGACAGCATATTTTTGCAGAAATTAATTCTGTTGTGGTCATGTGGTTAAGGTAACTAACACAAAAGACCAGGAAATGAAGAGCAGAAAAAATCAGGCTCAAATAGAAGAGAACAGGTTACACAAACTTTTACAGATGAGGACATTTAATTAAGCTGATTACACTCAGCAAAATACTACCTTGGAGAACCATGGAAAGTATTTCAAATTGTTACAGTATCTCAAGGAACACACAGAAGAACAACACAGTCCTACAATATTGAAAGGAGGCAAAACTAAAATGTCTTCCACAATGACAAGAGGAACAACAGATCATTCAGTTTCAGGGAAAAAAAAAAAAAAAAAAAGTACCTAGAAAGAAAGAAAAAGCAGTACAACCTCCAAAAGGCATTTGAGAATATCTAATGAAATCACTCTAATTTTCTTCTAAAACAGGAAAATATAGCACAGACAGAAATGTGATGTACTTTTTTTTGGACTTTAGCATCAATTTTGGCACTGTCTTGTAACACATTCCCCTACAGCAGGCCAGAGCTTATGAAAGGTGAAATAACTGTAGAGTAAGGCAGAACRCCTTGTAACAAAAAAATTAAAAACACATACAGAAACTAATGTATCTGTAGTTGCTATGACTGAAAAGACATACTAAATGTGGGGGTTTTGGTCCTGATGATATTCAGTGTTTCAAATAGCTCACTGCATAATAGAACAGAAGAATAGCTAAAGTACCCATAGACTTTGGGTCACCAATAGTAACTGTAGAGGACAAGATAAATTAGAATGAGAGAAGAACATGCATGTGAAAAACATTCATACATACACAAATTTAACTAAAAATACTGGACGTATTGCTGTAAGGACAACACAAATTGTCAGTGTTTCAGCAGAAAACCTTTACACAAACATAGATCAAAAAGCAACTAGACAGATGATCATTCTTCAGAAAAAGAGGATCATGATCTGACCATGAATCATTAACAATGTTCTTGCTTAAGAAGGACAAACATAATAGTGGAAATAACAGAAGTATAACCTGTGAACCTAAATTTACATTACTCAGCATTAATCATACCACATCTGATCCTACCACGCAGCTTTAGAAATGTTATTYCAAGAAAAATACTAACAAACTAAATTGACTCCAAAGGGGAACAGAAAGAACAATTAAAGTAAAACATGTCAGAGAAGACTGGAGTTACTTGGATGCTTATTTTCAAAATAAAAATATTGACAGGAGATATTTAATGGTCCTCAAATAAACAAGAAAATGCTACTAGGGGAAATACAAGTTATTCAGTATCTGAAGCAAAGACAGAACTAATAGCTTCAAATGAGAGAAGCATAGATTTTACCCAGCCATTACTATTGCTATAATTAGGAAGTTTCACAGTGTGCTGAAATTGCAAAGAAATACAGTGGATTTCTACGTAATTACAAAAGCTTCAGGAGTATCTGTCAAATTCTGTAAGAGYAATCATTTTTCCCTACTCCTTACTTTTCATATTTTAATTCATCACTAAAACTATAGCCTAAAACTCCTAAGATAACATTACACATGCCTATGCAAAAAATTGTATTTTTTCTACAGTATCACAGAAGTTTAAAAATATCTACACTTGAGAAGAAATCCCTTTGGAAATTCAGGGATTTTTTCAATAACTAAGCCTCTCACCATTAGAACAGACATTTAATGGTGGGATATGCAACTCATTGTTTTGCTAAACTATATACTCCTACTACTTTTATAGTGACAMAATAGTACTTGAACTTCCATCTCTGCATTGAATATGAACACAGGATTACATATGAAGAATATTTAGAGTAGTATAAATACAGCTAAAAGTACTCATATACAGATACAAGCACCTTTACACATATGATGCATGYACAAGTTCTTTTATACATACAGTGCATCTGTAAGAAAGAGTTGCTTTCTCTACATAATTATCTAAACAGCTGTGCAGTGAAAAAAAGTAAGAGATAAGTCAAACAATGCCTATTGCCACAATTATAAAGAGAAAAGCAAACGAAAAGGACACAGAATGAGAGCCTGTTATAAGCTAGCATCTGTACAAATTGAATGAGTGYTATTTCTCTTCTTTGAAGTCAGAGTAGCTTTGGACTAAGCCACCTTGTACRTAACTTCATACCAAAGTAAACCAATATCTGCAGCTTCCGTAAATCTTTAGCCCAAAATGCAGTAAAACTGTATCATGCACCTAGAACACATAACCAGAAGAGCCAATCACTAACCCAGGGTATATGTTAAAATTTAAGGACTCAGACACAACAGAAAATCAAAGCATTATCCTCTTAGCTGGTAGCTCAAGCAAGCGATGAGGTCTCAAAAGTGTGAAGGCAACAAAATCAATTGAAAGGGTATGTTTTTAGTTGCRTCAGGAAACATGCATTAAAATGAAGAGTAATTACCTTTCAGGTTCAAAGACACTGCTATCTGCTACCATGGCCTTTAACACATCAGCATTTGCTGCAATGAAAATAAACAGAACTCTTCAAAAGTGAATGGCTCTGACTTTAGAAAAAAACAAAACCAAAAAGTTCCTCAAAGATATTTCATCTACAAGAAAGATGACTGCAATATGTATATCTCCAAAATGGCATAAGAGAAAACTGAAGAAAAAAAAGTTAATATAATTCTATGGGAAGTCTTAAATGAGCTACTAAAATTGCTACTAAAATTGCTAAAATATTGTACTCAAAGCTCCACCCCAATACAAGCCATGAAATGTAGCCACCTGCACAAAACTCTCAAACAAGATCCCTGAATCGCCTCACACATTTAACACAACTTCAGATTAAAAACATCAGTTTAAGTGAGTCCTACAAAATGCAAATTCATTACCAGCCATGATTTATCAGTTGCTCACTTCTTATCAAAACACATTAATTACCTAATCCCAATCTCATGGAAAAATACACAAGCTCAAAGCCCTAATAGTAAAAAAAAAAACCAAAAAAAACCAAACCAAACACCAAAATGACAAAAAAAAACCACAAACAACAAAATCCAAAAACCCCACATGCAAAACCAAAACCACCACTTTTCCACAGGACTTAATTCAGAGGCAACTCAAAGCCAGTTCAATGATTAGAACTCTGATTTATACAAATGTAAAGTTAAAAGGCTGAAGACTCTTGCCCTATAAAAACATGCAGTCTCCTAAACATTTACTCTATTGGGAAAATACATTCTGAACTAACCAAGCATTCCATTGAGTGCTTAACTATGATTTYATTTTCTCAGTCACATCTTCCTCTTTATCCTTTATTTTGCACACGYATGAAGATACCACATAGTGAATTAGTGCTATATACCTAATTGTCTCAGTTATGCACCAGCCTCTCATCAGATATGAGTTGCAAGAATCACTGCAGGACAGACAGTTTAATCTAGTCAAAACAGAAAAGTTTCCACAGGCTTTAAACACTGCCACTAAGAAAGCAACTTTGAGCTTTTACTTCACAAAGTAAAAGGTTGAACCAAAAAAAACCCAAATACCTACACAGTTCAAATATCAGGAAATGCACGACCCAAATTTACCATAAAAAACGATTTTTAAGTAATCAAGAAACTTCCCTATTGTCCTCCAATATCGCCTTGTGAAGGCTACTTCAAAGAGCAAACAAATTGGTTATTAAATGAAAGCACATGAACATACCATATATCAGACTACCTGAAAAAACCTATTTGTTATAGAACACACATGGGCTGATAACTTCAATGTCACAATACTATACCTTCATTTTTCATGATGTAGTTAACAATTTGTCCCACAGTGTCACTATTCTCATGTATAGTTTCATTCATTTCTGTGCAAAGAAATAAATACGTTGTCAGTATCTTGGCCTTATGAATCAAGAACGGAACTATTTTAAAACAAAATAATGCTAAAAAAGTCACATCCAACACCAAACACACACCAGAAGAAACTACATTTAAAAACAAAATTGTGGAGGGAAAGCTCAGATAAGACTTAGAATAAGGACTAAAAAGACCTTATTCACTAAAAACTACGAACACARGTTTTATCATCTATACATCAGCTCTAGCAAATTCAGCTAAGAATTTAATCAGCTCAGTATTTTCACAAACATACTTCAAAATTCCTACTCTTGCTAGTAAGGAGGATACAAATGAGAGCAGCATTTCTAATCCCAACAACAGGGAGAAAAAATCAAACCAAAAGAAATCATTAAACTGTTTCAAGCCACTAATCTAAAACAGGTATTACTGGCTTTCAGTATGAGGGGGATTCAATTTAAGATTTTCAGCACATCAACAAGGACATAACAACTGATTAATTAAAAAAAAAAAAAAGGAATTTTTGGAACAGAATGCACCCATTAACARTATTAAAAGCTTCCCCAGAATAACCTGCAAGGGCTGAAAAAGATCAGTGGGGGAACTAAAACAATGAAGAGGCAAAACTGTGCCCTTCCCTATTTGTTATAACCCTTTCTTTCAAAAAACAAATAGAGTTGAGCCAAGTTTGAYAGGCTAGACTCTAAATTCTTCTCTATGTAGTAAATTAGGGGATACCCCATCTCTTTACCCATGCTTTATCTTAATACCTGCAACTTTGCAATGTAACTTAAGCACAGCTAGCTCCTGACCCAGAGACACAGGGGATGCCCCCCTTTCATTATCACTGGCCTCACTGTTACCACTCAGGTGAACTAACAGATCAGATAGTTCCACTCACTGCTCAGATGCCCCAGGCCGTTAATGCCTCAGAACACACTGACATATCATTACTGCACCACATGGGTCTACCCTTACCACACAGCCACTGTAATTTGCACTTATTATAAACCTATGGAAATAAATTAATTCGGAAAAAGGAAGAGGCTCAGACTATCTACAAGTGACTTTTGTTTTTACTTACATTTCACAAATGCTGTACCAGGTTACTATAGTGCCCTGCCATGATAACACTCTTATTTTTTTCCCCAAGAAAGAACAGATGGGAATAAGGAACAATAAAAACAAGAAAACAAATAAACAAATATTAGGATAAAAACAAAGGTGTCTTTTTAAGAAAAAATTATAAGCAGCAGACATTACATAAAACAGCATGAAGATATGCAGTCCAAAGGCTTGGTATTATAAAGAGAGGGAGGATGAGAATGACAGCACAACAGGAACAAATTAAGATTGCAAAACATAAAACTAAGATTTCAGGCTTTAAATGACATTTTTTGCCACTTCTCAGCTAGCACTATGTACGCTAATACTTTGTTATTAACAGCGTGTAGAATGCAGAAAAGYGACCTGGTGACTCCAGCTGTGGAATTGCAAACAAATACACTGATGCTTTGATCCCTCTGTAAGCTCTAACTTGATGTCAGCAGACTTGCATGGGAAACTGGAACACTCYGAGTTTTGACTGGCAAACATCAAACCCCAAATGACATATAATAACAAAAGTATTTTTCTTAATACTGCTTTGATGTCAAATATAGCCATAGAAATGATAGAAATCTCACAATAAATTATTTCATAGTAGCTGCAATATACAGAAATAGGAATTCATTTTTTAGACTTCATTACCTATTTTTTCATCAAGCTTTTCTTCTTCTACTTCTTCAGCCTCTGTTGTACAACGATATCCTTTTTTCTTAAGGATATGGCAGATAAGGATCCCCAAGAGACCCATGATGAAGAAAACAGGAACCAAAGCAAATGCAATATACTCTAGGTGTTCAGCCTTGCCATCATTGCCATCCGTTTTAGGTGTCAAAGTAGTTGTCTGTAAGCCATGGCTTGGCAAAACCCAGGGAACCACTCCATCTATGTAAATCAATGAACACATTTATCACTATGCACTGTAAATCACTTGAAAGCATTCAGAAAATCACAAGCATGACCAAATCCCCACAGTGTCAATGGAAGATACCTTCCGCGATGACGTGAACAACACATACTCTMTGGGCTGAGAACTGACACCGTAAACAGCAGATATTCCCTCTTCACCAAACATTTAGAAACATCTAACATCCAAAAAGCCTGCATGATATTTCTGCAATATCACAGAGAAGAACTGACAATATTCTAGCCTAACAGGTTTGGAATCTCAAATAGACGGCTCACATATTTCACAGAAGAATAACACCACCATTGCTCCTTGTTCACATCAGTGAGGGAAATGCCATACCATTCCTTCAATCCTAAATTCATGTAAAAGTACCAATAAAATGTGATCCTTCCCTAATATGAGAGTAAACACAGGATTTAATATTGACCCTTGCATAGAAAAAGTATCAGGTGTGAGAGAAATAGCCTTTTTTCTGACAATGAGAATTCTCAAAAGAAAGAGAATCTACCCTCTGCTCGGCAAAATAAGGTGGGCTCATTCTTGCTTATCTGAGATACGGAAATCATTTTGTATTTAAACTTGAAACAGGACATGAAATAGAATTCTTTTTACTTGCAAAGAATTTAAGTTGAAACATTGTCACACACTAACTCTATATACACAATTAAGCACTTTTGTTTTCTATTCTTTTTTTAATTTCACAGATGTACACTCCATGTTATAAACTGGTAATTTGACCTATCAAAAGTATAGAATATCAACATTAGAAGGGACATCTGAAATTCTTCAGGGCAAATGCTGCTAAAAGCAGCACTGATTCGATCCACATTKCTCAGGTAAGCTCCATCTAGATGACGAACGCTCCACGTTTCTGGGCAACCTGTTCCAATATTAACGCACTTTTATGTCCAATATACACAAAGAAACTAAAAACTCAGTACCTTTTCACATATCAAATATAAAAGTATAAAATGTTCAATGAYTCAGATAAATCCAAAATTACATGTTGCATACTCAATATTTTCCCAAACCCTTAGAGTTTATACACACCCCCACCCCATATAACAAAAACTTATACTTTACTATCCCAAAATGCAAGAATGATCCTGCATTTCKACCTTCTATTCTTCTCCTCCACTCCAGCTGAAAACAATTTTTTTGGAGCAGGAAATAATGACAACCAGAAAGTGTTAGTCTACTTCAAGGTATTTTCCATTTAGTTGTATTAAAACGTACAAGGCAATTCACAACTGTTCCATTCATCAAACCGGTTGAAGAAATGAAGGGGCATTTTCACAACACAAATGTCTAAAATAATAATCCTTCCCTTTCAAAAACGAAGTCATGGAGACCTCCACAAACTCGCAGAAAGAGCATTATTCCACAAATATCTCCTGCACTGGTTGCATAGCTAAGCTGCATTTCAGAAATACTGGTAAGGTGACAGACAGTGAAGAAAAGTAAAATTTGCAGATTGGTATTTCCCCTAGTTTTCTTTATTCCTCTAGAAACAGTACACCTTTTATTTTAAAATTTTTATTTCAAAATATTTCTGAATTTTTTAGAACAGTCTTGAATTGTCAGTTGAGTAGTACGCAATACACAAGACTTGCTCAAAATGAAAACAATGGAAATTATTTGAAATAAAAATTTATTAACCTCAATTAGCCACAAGAAAAAAAAAAGATATATAAAGCATTTCACTAGAATAGTCTTCTAGAAGACAGTAGAAATGCAGAAAAATGGGAAGAACAGCAAACAAATTACTGAATAGATCATGAAAATAAATGCTAAAACAAAATCCCAGGATATTTGCTTTGGACAAAATCAGATGGTCTGGTTTGATCCCAAAAYCAAAAGAGAAAGCTATTCCCTTTTAAGAGGCCATCAATCCTAAAGAAGATTGTATGCAGAATGCAGCAACATGTAACCTTTAGAAGCTATGAAGCTCTAACTCATGCCTGAGTAGGACAATTGAACAATATGTACAATATAACACTTTAAGATTGCAAATGTTTTATACTGAAAGGAAACAAAAGAGAGGAAAGGGTAAGGGTACAATCATAAAACTGAAAAAGGTGATCTTACATGGAGTTTATTTCTATTCTAAGCATTTATAATTCATGCTTTAATATACCAAATAAAACATTTATAATTTTTTTTATAGTTCATCAGCTAGCACAGTCACAAAGTCCCCAACTTAATCAAACCAAAGTAGCTTCATTTACTTTCGAGGCAGGAGAAAAGCCGTCACACCAGAGAAGCATTACTCGAACCACAACAACATTTCAGAATCTAAGAAACACAACTGAAATAGTATACATCACGCCTTCTGAAGGGTATTAATAAAGAAGCACCTTTCATGTYCAAATATAAGAGAAAAACAGGCAGATGCTTTGGATTTTCTTGCACTTCCTCCGTTTTAAGAATGAACAGGAAACACCTCCCTGCTCTCAACAGCCACTTGCTAATCAARTTATTTTGTGGGAAGGGTCACAAAATTTATCCAATTCAACTTTTTAGGTTTTCTGCCTTTCTTTGTGGCAAGAGTRGCATGCATTGCCTGAACAAATATCTATTTTCTCCACAACCATGGAGAAAACCATAACCATAACCACCAGGCAATTCCCAGCAAACCCAGGGAGAAAGGGGGCCTCATCACATGGCTAGAGGTCCATGCCTCAGGCTTTCCAAGCTGTGGTTCACTGTAATTCCTCAAAGTGGCTTCAGGATGTCCCTTCCCATTCAGCTCTCTGCTACTCCACTGGCTGTTCTCCTTACAGTCTGTAGCCCTGAAAAAAGTTTTAAAGTGGATTTCTGAGATGAGCATGTTTTAAGAAAAAGTGCCACAAAAAGTCTTCCATTTTTAAGAAGTCATTTTACTGAATCAGAATAGCCTGAGGTCTGGCAAACTCCTCTATTATGACAATCTCCGACTGAGTATGCTTAAATGGGGAAATGATAATGAGCAAGGATAGCCAAGTACATCTAGAACAACGTTTCCCAGAGTAATTGTAGTAACATGGAGCCACAGTGTCAAAGTATGTTCAAAATACAAAAGCAGAAGGATTATTTACGTAATTATTAAAATTTTTAACTGCGAGGGCAGTGAGGTACTGGAACATGTTACTCAGAGAGCTTGTGGATGCTGCAACTCTGGCAGTGTTCAAGGCTAGGTTGGATAAGGCCTTGAGCAACCTGGTCTAGTGGGAGGTGGTACAAGAAGGGTTGGGAAAGAATCATCCTTAAGGTCCCTTCCAATCCTTAGCATTCTATGACTCTATTAAAAAAAAAAAAAAAAGTATAATCTAAATATTTTTAAATCATCAACTTGAAACCCTATCAGTTTGACACAGCCACTGAAAACATAAATACAATTTAGCACTATCACCACCCTCCAAAAGAGTCAACTGCCAGGAACCACCTGTAAATGCCTTCACCATGGTTTGAATCCTTGTTTTCTGTTTCTTTTCTTCCTACATAACCTGGTTTATGATTTGGAACTCCTGCTTGTAGACTGACACGTGAAACAACAGTGAGAAAACCTTATCAGTTAAAATCTSATCTGCAGTCAACAGGTGATGATAATCTAGACAAATGCTCAAAGAATATGCAACTTATGCAAGTTAAAAGGAGAAGTGTACCTATACTGGCACTTCTTTCCCTGACAGAAGAATGTTGAAAAAAATCATAATTTATCAACAGAATACTCTGTAGCATAGCTTAGTCTATTAATAGGGTTAAAATTTAGAGTTTTTGAACTAGGAAGGAAAACAGAAGTATTTTTTAAATTTAAAATTAATTAAATTAAATTGGGTACTTCAACATGTCAGTTTATTTACACAGGCCTATGAGACTTTTCTTTGGTTGTAATTAGATGCCTAAAAATTCAAATTTTTGAATTAAAAAATTCCCCCTTAAATTTCCCATTAAATTTCTCCCATTAAATTTCAACAAGAAACAAACAAACAACAGCACAGTATTTTGCTTATCACTAGTAAAACATTAAATCAATAACATTTCTATATAAATACTTCATTTACACAAAGCCCAGAAACTGCTTGATGCCAATTAATTTTTTTSTTCAGAGACATAAAAATTCACCAAAACCAAACCAAAAATATCCTGGAAGAAATTAACTAGCTGAATCAAATATTTGGTGCTGCGTAACCTTATAAGCAGAGCAAAGCACTCAGCTTTCATTACRAAACACCCTACACAGCCTGCCCTCAAAACCCTCAGCAATTATGACATAACGCAAAGCCAAGCCCTGCATACCTAAATGGGCAAATATATTTTATATCCCAAGTCACAGCTACATCATTCATTGCACATTGCCTATTCCCTTTCCCCAGAGGCACATTATGCTTTTATCAGACTGTTGACAGTTTACCTCATTCTCGTGATGTATGACACTCTTCTCAATGGTTTTAATGAGGCCATAGCAATCTTCCTTGACTTGAGTCAATTCATGAAAGAACAGATTTGTTTCAGTGCTTTGCTGTCCTGGCATTTTTATACACCAGTCATTGTATACCAGTTTATACATCAAAATTACTTTTAGATGTGATCTAAATGAAAATATTTAGGAGCAATATTTAGCACATTTAGTGATGCTTAAGCTGTAAATAATAAATTGCACTATTGCTACTAATTCACATCCCATGTATTCATTTGCTTAAAGATGAATATATGCCAAGTACTGAAGTTGAATATTGCCTGCCCTTACTTAATCCTTACCTAGGAAGTAAAATATATAGACAGTCAACCTCAGACAAGTCTTTCAGTTCTAATCATTGTTGCTCAAATACAAAGGTAGTGTCTTTCCACCTCAGCAATTGCTCAAGAAAATTTTATAGCACCTTCAGGAAACAGGATATAAGAGGAAAACAGTTAACAGATAAATGAAAAAATATTTCATTCTTCAATAAATTGCAATTTTAACATGCCCTGGACAAACTTCTCATAAAGCACG